TGCCAAACATATCTCATCATAAAGTGTTGCAGATGTAATCTATCCAGTTCGTTCTCGTCGTTGGGAAGAGGATATCGAGCGTCTCTCACGTTATGATATCTAAGTCCATCAGCGTAAGTAAAATTTTTAGTAAATTTGTCTACGGTGTTTTGTTCTATAGATTTTTCTTTCTTCTTTCCTTTTCTACCATTCGGTTTCGAAATCAAATTGCCCATATTATTAGAAATTAGTGATTACGAACATATATTATTTTTTTCCCGAGAGCTTTTATTTACTTCTGTAATTAATTACACAAATTGTTATCCGCATGACACGCATCGTATCTTCCACTCTTCACTGGCCTTAATACTGTGCATGCACCAAAGATAAACGATTTTACCGAAACGTTAATCGATATTGGTTATCGTGTAATCTCAATTGGTCTTTAACTCTATTTACCGATCTTTCTGAAATGATGCATCAATTTTTAACGGTATCTCGGCTAACTCCGATGAGAATGCGTTTCACGCCCTAACAATGTATCAAGTGATATGATTTTTTTCCAATGCAGGAAAAATATCACAAATTTTTTTTTTTTGTTAAGATTTGTCTTTAATGATCTTCATTTTCATTTTAGGCAAAATCGCTATTATTCCCTCGTGAAGAATTCTCCCTTAATTAGGTTACAATAAATCATTCACCCAGCATCGGATGTATTCCCCGAGTGATACAAACAAACTTTCCATTCCACACTTGAGCCACGCGAAATTGGGGAATATTTATATTTCCAAAAATTATTTTTATTATTACGCCACGGAAGATCTTTTTAAAAATATACGATATGTTCCTATCTTATAAAAAGAAAGATCTCACCCGTTCCTCAATTTTACGCGTCTACTACCGTAATAAGGAATTATTAACAATCATTCATCTAATGATACGATCGTTACTCAATCCCATAGGACATCCTATATCTTTTAATAACTTAAATATTTTATACTTTAAAATTGTCTTGGTTGTTTTGCATAACACACGTAAAAACTGCAGCTGAGAAGACATCGAAAATTTCAAAATCTCAAAATCCAAAAAGAACTGTCATCTATACAGTATTTCCCTTTTTATTTATTCTTTCTAGTAAAAGCATACATTTGGTGTACCGTAGCACGTATAGAAAAAATCCCAAGATGACTATAAAAATGTTCCCAAAAACAAAAACTTTAACGTGTGCTTAATCAATCAGTCATTTTTTTCACAGCATATACACGAACAGTGCGGACGTAGCTATTATATTCATCCATTTCTTTGACCATGGCTTGTACCATTTTATCGTATTCTTCGGAATCTACTCCTAAAATTTCATTCAAACTAATCTTGAGGTTATCGAATACTCTTATTGTATTATCTATTGCCTGATGAATTAAAAAA